GCCCCGCACCACAGCCCCGTCCACTCAGCTCCCACCCCTCCTCCCCGCCTCAGAGCCCCTCAGCCCCTCCCCCGCCCACCCAGCTCCTGCCCCGCACCACAGCCCCGCCCACTCAGCTCCCACGCTCCCTCCCCACCTCTTTCCTTCACTCTCCCACCCCTGCCCCTCTCCCATCCTTCCTGCCACTCCTGTAGCCCCCTCATCCTGCCCCTTCCCCGTTCCTCTCCCTTTCCTCACCCCCCCTTCGCTCGCGCTCTCCCCGCTCACTGTTTCTCCCATCCCCCCTCCGCCCTGCCCCCGCCTCTAAAGCCAGAGGAGACCTCTTCCCACCAGCTGCAGGATGGACACGGTTCCCGCCATGCACTTAGGGATCCTTTCAAGTCTAGCCCCAATTTGCTGTACGTCCTGAGCTGCGAGGACAGTAGGTGCCATTCTCCCAGCGTATCGTGTAGTAACTGCAAAAAACGTGATACTGGGGGCCCCAAAGCACAAGATGGGTTAACAATAATAAAGGTGGGGTTCTTTTTATTTGCCGGCTGCTTTCTGCACCTGGCTGCATGTTCTGCAGCTTTTTCCCTGCAATTTTGAAGACCAGAAATTTCTGTTTTTTAATGAAAACTGAGATCCCCATGCAATCTCTTGATTCCAGCAGTTGGGGCTTTAGAAGAGACACCAGCTATCAGGAGGCTTGTGATAAAATCATGAGAGCTGGCACCAGGTCACATGGCAATATATACACTAGCACTGAGCTCCACTGGAGGGTGGGGTGAGCCTTTGGGGAGAAAGCAGGTCCCTATATACGCACTTGTGGTAATAGGGCCCATATTGGCAGAATTCATGAACAATTCAATAGCAGCAGTGAACTGTAAGTCTAAATATAGGCAGCCATGTTGGTTAGTTTCTGCTTCACTAAGAATACAGGGGGGAAATTAACGTCAAATGAAGAAGTAAACAGTAAAAAATAAAAACCCTATTAAAAAGAAATGATACTTTTGATAATGTTACACAGGTTTATACAACCCACATCAAAAGCTTTTTGCAAATTAGCTATGTCAGCCATCGGTACATGACAAGCATCAAGGTTTTGAACAGCTTCATTAACAAATTCAAAGAGCTGTAGATGTACCCTATTAGGTCTAAAACTTAATTTTTCATTAATGAAGAGCTTATTTAAATTATGAAGTCCTTGCATGTGACCCACTCTTTTAAGCATTTATATCAAAGATGATAATGTATGGCAATTGGATTATATTAATTATAATTGTAATAAATATGTCTCACAGTTTTAGAAGCCAATAATCTATACAACTAGACATCCAGATATTCTGGACAATTCATCTACTAAACTTGTTTCCCACAAATCTAGCTTTTCATCAATGAGACTAAATGAAAACAAACATGAAACAGGATAATTTTTAGACAATGGGCCAAATTCACTCTCAGTTTACATAGGTGTAAATCTGTAGAAACTCAATGGAGTTACACTGGTATATTGAAGAGCAGAATTAGCTCAAGATTATAAAATACTTAGCCAGCTGGAAGAGCTAGTACGAATTTGTAGCTGTTGGCACTTAGGGTACCTGTGGCCTAGTTAAGCACTGGGTATTTCTTACTTCCAGAAACAGGGTACTGGACTTGATTGACCAGTGGTCTCAAATGTACGTATCTCTGATTTGATCAAGCATTCTGCATTACTGAAATGTAAGCTGATTGGAAGGTAACTCTGTGAACTGAAAAATCAACAGCCACAGATGTGTTCAGTATTTAGAAACATTAAAATACCCAGAAGTAGTTTACAATATATAGTGGGAAATGAGCACAAATGTCATAGATGAGTTAGTATGGCCTGGTCTACACTGGAGGACCTTGGGTTGGAGAAAATCGATCTAAGTTACGCAACTTCAGCTATGTGAATAACGTAGCTGAAGTCGACGTACTTAGACCTACTCACCGCGGTGTCTTCACTGCGGTGAGTCGACTGCTGCCGCTCCCCCATCGACTCTGCCTATGCCTCTTGCGGCAGTGGAGTACAGGAGTTGACGGGAGAGCACTCGGGGGTTGATTTATCACGTCTTGACTAGACATGATAAATCGACCCCCGCTGGATCAATCGCTGCCTGTCGATCCAGTGGGTAGTGTAGACATACCCTATGAGTTCTCCAAATTTGCCAGTCCAGCTTGAGGGTATAAATCCTACTAGCAGAATGAGGTGGAAAAAGCAAAGCATTACTTTCTCTGTCAAAGATGCTGGCAGGCAGACCCTGCTCATTCCTAACATTTTACTGTCTTTTAGAACAGTCTAGATCAGGCTGGGCATCAGATCCCTGCCCATCCAGTGACTGAGAGCCTGGTACTGAGAACTGAATCATGAGCCTGTGGCAGCATAGAATACTACCACCACCATACTACCTAGTGACAGCTTTATGGTTCTTGTGGGTTCCCTAAGCAAGAACATGGCCTAAAGCTGCTGGAAGCGAATATCAAATCATGGCTTGCTGTCCAGCCAGGTAATTTTACAGGAGGGGATGGGTCTGGTGGATGGTGTTGCTGCCAGTGTCTGCTCATGAGTTGCATTATTTCCATGGAATAATGGGCCAACAAAATAGGGAAGCCACAAGAGACTGATTGCTTTGGGATTAAGACTAAACTCTATCCTACCAAGTTGGTTAAATTTTTTTAAACAGAAGATCTGATAATCTGAAAATGACACTACACTCAGCAGAAGAGTTGTCTGCTCATGGATTTGATTGTGCAACCCATACTCACTTTGGTGGGCACCTTACTCTCACAGTTAGTACCATCGCTCCATTGACCTCAGTGAGACTACTCAAGTGAAAAAGTGCTCACCAACACGAGTCAGAGTTGTACAGTCTTGTCCCATACATTTAGCATTGCTGTTTGTACACGGTTCCAAATGAAGAACAAGGTATGAGTGAGGAAGTGGAGCCATTCTGGTGAATATTACTCAGGGCAGGTCTACACTTAAAACCCTGTATCAGCACCATTGCACTTAAGTGAATAGGCTCCTATGCCAACAGAAGAGCATCTCTCATTTGTGTAAATTCACCTCCCTGAGAGGCAGTAGCTATATCTCCTGTCAACATAGAACTGTCTACACGGGGGGTTAAGTCAGTATATCTATGTTGCTCAGGGGTGTTTTTCACACTCCAAAGTGACGTAGTTATACCGATATAGGTCTGTATTGTAGACCTGGCCTCAATAGCTTGGCTTAGTAGAATTGGCTTAGTCCCCTAATAATATTGCCATTCTACAATAGGTCAGCATTCTTTGTCACCTGTTTGTTGTTTTGCTGTCTCTTTGCATATTTATTTCTCTGCTGGCATAATTTCTGTACAACTTACATCTGGGTTGTTACTACTTGGGAAGAGTGTAAGGATTGTATTGTAGCAGTGCCAACATTAAACGGTAGACCCTGAAGTTCTGGTAGGAAATCTGCTTCAGAAATCAGCAAAACTTGAAGCCAGGGGGAGGTTGGTCTGCCTGAGAGCTACTGGTTAGGATATAAATGGGAGGAGTGGAGAGGAAGCAGTAATTAAATAATGCAGCATTTCAGAGGTGACTGCAAATAGAACACTTAGAAATATTTTACAGATAGACTCCATCTTAGCTTGAGGATTCTGAGTACAGATTTGCCTTTGTGTTATTCTTTGTTAATGTTGCTTCCCCTCTCTTATTGTCTGTGCATGTAAAATTACACTCTTTGTTTGCTTTGCCTCACTTATTTCCTCTTGATTTTATACAATGCCATCTAGTATTTGTTTCTTTTAAATAAAATGGGCAATTTAACGGTGGGAGAGAACAGAAAATTACTGAATTCCCAAAGATATTTTGATGTTTAGAATACGTAATAATAATACTTTGAATGTATAGATTGCATGCAATTTGAAGATCTGAGAGTGCTTTACAAACATTAAGGAATTAACTCTCACAACACCACTGTGAGATAAACAATTGCAAATGCATTACCACCATCTTCTACAAATGAGGAAACTAAGTCACAGAGAGATTAAAGTCTCTACTTGACAAAGTCACCCACAAAACAGCATAGTGACAAACAGAACACAAGTACTCTGACTTCCTGTCCGGGGTTCTTCTATTTTTTCCATCTTTCCTTTCATCATAGGTATTGTAGAAGATTTCCAAAATGTTTCTATGAGAGTTTTAGATAATATCACAATGGGGAACTACAATGGTTGGACTATATGTGATTTAATCTAAATGTCTTCATGTCTGCAAGTCCTCTGAGTAGCATGCTACTGTGAGGGTGTGCTTTTCATATGTCTACTGATTGTTCACAACGTATATTCACTGCACA